CAAACTTACAGAAAAACAAAAGGTAAGAAATTGCTGGTTGATAAGTTACACATTGTCATCTTAGAAATAGCTGTTCATGTTATAGAATTAAAGTATTTAGAATGACATTCATAAAGTGACACTACAAACCGTTCTGCTCTATGATCGAACAAAAGCTCAGTAATATGGTTATCAGTCCTACACATTTGTTTTACATCTCAAAGAGGGTAAGATTAAACATATCAAAACAGAACAAAGCAGTTAAAAAAACAATTTAAAGAAATACAGATTTCGCAGCAAGTCCACTGGAGATCTTCATTGTCTATCTAACTGTCTCTAGTTTCTTACAAATAGTTTTCCCCATCTTCACCCACTTTATATACTTATTGCATATTATAGAACTAATCAAATCATTGGAGGCTTTTTAGGTCCTCAAGTTCCAAATTAGGGAAGACAATAGTAACTACCATCATATCTCTCATTCTCTTTGTGATAGCTGTCCCCATCTCTACATATGCTGAAATTGGACTCAAGAAACCAGTCCAATGTCATTCTAATCAGCGAACAATAGTATTGCTAGAATTTATATCATAATGCTACAAAATTAGCCTCAGGTTTCTTAGCGTCTCTTCCTCAGAGTATCTATTCATTACATCTTGCATTATATAATCTGTTCCCGTAAATAATTAAAAAGAAAAAAAAACCCATGTGTGAATTTCTACATATATATCTATCCTCTCTGTATTATAGGGAATACCAAGTCATAGCAAGACAGTAAAACAATTTCCTAGAAAAACATGCAATGGATAAGACATATAAGACCACAATATAGATGATCTTCCGTAGTTACTATGTTTTCTCTTGTTATTTTCAATAGATTTGACCACAACACTGGCTTATTATAGTTAAATATAGTATCACCTATTTTTATAAAAACTTAACTTTGACAGCATTGTAGGATTTGAGAGCTGTTACTAGTTAATACCAGTATGGATATCCTTTACATCTTGTCATCCTCAGAGTAGTTGCCTCTACTTTTGGGGTTGACACTAACAAGCATACCAATTTCAAATAAAATCAGCTAAGGCCAATCCATAGTCTTATGATTCAGATTCAATTAAGATCAGTCATAGTAAGACAATGTAAGTATTGTAGGATTTCAGTTTAAGTTAATAGGAAAGTAAGGATAGTTACCATGGTATAACCTGCTATTTTTGGGTCAAGATGTCTGTGCCCTCAAATCTGACATGAGTGGACAGACCAGTATAAATTAAATTCCAACTAAATATGTCAATAAGACTACTATGTCTTTTAAATCCTTATACACCATTAACAATGACCTCTGCCTTTTTCTTTTTTTTATAGAGTTTCAGAGCTGTCTATACTAAAAACTATAGCTTACCGTCTCTGCCTCATGTCTGCTACTCCACTTTTCTGCTATAATTTGTCCACCTTATTCCCTCATTCCACTGTCTGCCCTGTTCATTGAGGCCTCTCTGCCACTGTTGCTGGAATCCTGGTATCTCTTCCTCTCTTTCTCTGTAATGTCCTTCAGCACTCTCTGTAGGGTTGGATTGGTGGCCATGAACTCCCACAGTTCCTCCTTGTCTTGAAAATATCTTATTTCTCCATTGATTCTGAGAGAGAGTTTTGACGGGTATATGAGCTTCGGTTGCATATTATTTTCTTTCAGGACTTGGAATATTTCTCCCCACTCCCTTCTTGACTTAAGAGTTTGTGTTGATAAGTCTGCTGTTATTTTGATAGTTTTCCTGTTGTAGGTAATCTGCATCTTTTCTCTGGCTACTTTTAATATTCTGTTCTTTTGGTGGATTTCTGGAATCTTGATTATTATATGTCTAGGCGTAGATCTGTTTTGATTGTAGGTAGCTGGTGTTCTGTATGCCTCTTTTTATCTGGATATCATTTCTTTTTGCTATATATGGGAAATTTTGCTTTAATATTTCTGTGAATATTCTTTGTATTTCATTTTTGGTTGCTCCTGCTTCCTCACTCACATTCTTTATTCTTAAATTCTGTATCTTTTTGTCATCTTCTAGTTTTTGAATTGCTTCTTTCTGGTTCCTTGTTATTTTTAAGAGGCTTTTTCTTTCACAATCATATGCCATAAATCTCTCTTCAAGTTTCAGAAGGCTGTCTTTAGTTTCTGTCAAGGCATTTTACCAGTGTTCAATGGAGTTTTTAGTTTCCTGGTATTCTCTTTGGATCTGTCTCATGCATTCTAAGTTATGTTTAAATTCTTCTTCAGAAGTTTCTCTTTCTTTTCTGATTTCCTCAGTTCTTCCCTCTGTGTTCTCTTGGGCGGGGCTTGTCATTTCTTTAATTAATCTCTTTATATCTTGCCTCACTTGAATCAGGAGTACAGCTTTAAATTCTTCTATGAGATCATGAAGGTACTTTTTAATTTCGGCTGATGCTGTGTCAAGCAATGGATGGTTACTGTGCTTGTTCTCTTCAGTGTTTACTTCTCCTGGGCTTATTTTCTCACATTGGACAGCTGGAGATATTTTTTTATTTTTATCTCTTGTCATGTTTCTGGTTTCTTTCAGACTGTCCTGGGGTTCTCTGGCCCTCTCCGAATTGCTTAGGGCCTTTCAGAAGCGTGCAGACTTGAGTTTTTGCTGTCCTCCCCAATTTGCTGTTATCTGGGGGTAGGCTGGGATGCAGGGGCGGTACAGGCTAGTCTCCAGCCTCTGCGCCAGTCAATCCGTAAATTAGGCTGTACTTTCTGGATGTCACTGAGTTGTGACTATTTTGTATCTGCTTATTGGGCCCCAAGCAGAGGCTTGGTTTAGCCCCAGTAGCTCCTGCCGGTTCTCTTTGTACCAGAAGCAGCTGACTAATGTCACTATGGCACAGGGTCCTGCCCAAATCCCAGCTGTTCTCTTCCAGACCTCTCTGTGACAGGAGCACCAGAACAGCAGATCTGCCCAAATCCAAGATGTCTCCTACTAGTTCTCTGTATGACGCTGAAGCCAACACGTACTCAGGCTCTGCCCAATTTCAAGATGCCTTCCACCAGCCCTCCCTACAGGGGGACTCAGTGATGCCACCGAGCTGTAGGTTCTGCCCGACTGTAAGATGGCTGCCACCAGACTCTGTGTTATTGATGTCCCCATGGTGGCGGGCACTGCCCAGTTCCAAGATGTTCTCTGGCCAACCCCAGCAGCCGTGGGGTCCCCAATACTCACCAGGGTCCACGCCCCCCACCTTTCCTGCGCTCCCGGCACACCGCAGAACGGTCAGAGATCCGTGCAGTGTGCACTCCCGGCACAGCGCGGAACGGTCAGAAATGTGCTCTGTGTTCGGCTTTGGAGCTCCAGAGCCTTTCACGATCTCCTCTGGTGCAGCGGGGCAGTCCTGGCTGCTTCTCGGGATCTCAGGTCTCAGTTTCCAGCAGTCACCAAAAGCCAACACAGCTTTTCCTGTTGGGTCCACGGGTCAGTTTGTTGATTTAAAGGCGCGGGATTTGCAGCCTCCCGTTATCAGCCTTCATAGTCTCAGCACGACTTTAAATCTTCCAGCTGCACTGTCTTGGTTAATAAGAATCGTTATCCATTTGTCTGGCCCTCTCCATGTTGTCATATTCTAGCTTCTAATATGATTTCTCTGGAGAGACTCTCCGCCCGATCCCCTAGCAAGCCGCCATTTTCATTCCAGCCTGGGCTGGAATTTGAGGGCTGCGTCTGAGAAACAGGACAAGGCCTCCTTCCTCACTGCTGCAGAAGATGCGCCAGCCGGTGCTTGTCCCTGGGAAGCGGAGCTGAGCATCTCCGCCTCCCATACATGGAATAGACTGGGTACTGCTTTGTCACAGAGTGGTCACAGGCTAGGGGAGTTGAGGCTCATCCTGGGTTTGGCAGGAGCCCAGGACATCGGTCCAGGTATGGAGAGAAGGCGCTGGGCCACATGGGCTGGGGATCTGTTGAGGCCCTCTCATCCCGGCCTCCAGCATCTGCGAAGACATCCACCTGCAGGTGGGAGGGGGAGCCATGTCCTGGGTCCATGCTGGGGGCTGCTGGCTGGAGAAGTGTCTCCCCAGCCTCCTGGAAAGTCCTAGGAAAGCTAATGTCCTTTGTGACCAAGATCCTGCATCCCAGGAGTAGCTTCCTTGGGACAGAGCCTTGTGGCAGGAGGGCGGGGACTGGAGAGCAGGAGAGGCGTGGCTGGGACTGGAACTAACAGTGATGCAGAGAAGTTATATGTTAGAGCCATAGTTATACACGCAGCACATGCTGGTTCCTAGGTGGTGCAGAGTGAGCAGTGCATGAGCTAACATGGCAACACAAGCGTGTAAAAGCCACCATGAAATCTGCCCAGCCATGGTTGGGTGCATGTCCCTCTGCTGCATCCTTCCTCTGGATGCTTACAGGGAAAGATCACCTCCTATAACACTCGTGGAAGGGCTTTGGACTTTTTACTGTGCTTCCCTCGCTCCTGGGAAGCAGCCGTCAATACCGGCGCTATGGGACCTGCATGTGCTCTGTGTGCAGCCTGAGCAAGGAGGGCAAGGATCTGGGTTTCATCTGGAATGTGGTGTCGTCAGACCCAGACAGGAGGCCCTCCAAGTGTGGGGCGAGGGGAGCCCTGAACAGAGGCACCGCCTGCCCTGGGTGGCTGGATCAGGAGAGCTGCGAGGTTTCCTAGGAGCCAACTGTTGAGCTGTCTATGCTTCTGTGTTTCAGGGGAATGTACCATCTTGCTCTGGGCCACTTGCTTTGTTGGTTGTCTGTCTTTATCATTTCTGTTCAGATCTGCAAGCAAAATCTTTCCTAAGAGCTATTTCATCATCCTGCAGTCCCAGGGTCCTTCTCATCACAGAGCCCCTTGTCTGTGCTGGGTGAGGGCCTGGGATTGGGCATAAAGCCAAGTCTCAGAAGGATAGTGGCCTGCAGCTCTACCCTGGTTGTGTTCTGCCCAGGCTGGAGTTTTGGCCAGGCAGTGACCCTGTGTCCCTTCTGGTCAGCTCTCATTCATGCACCCGGCGTCTCTCTCCCCAGAGGTCTGACCCGCAGCTGCTGGCCCAGTTCTACTATGCCGACGAGGAGCTGAACCAGGTGGCCGCGGAGCTGGACAGCCTGGACGGGCGGAAGGACCCACAGCGCTGCACACTGCTCGTCAGCCAGTTCCGCTCCTGCCAGGTGAGCTGTGAGTGTGGCGGGAGTAGCACTGCCCTGGTGACCCCAGACTGTGCTCCCAGCCTGCAGGACTCTTCTCAGGGTTGGCCGTGGCTGTTCTGGGGAATCAGACCAAGGAGATGGGTGGCCTGGGGGCAGCATTGGGTAGGGAGCTGGGGTGCAGGTAGCAGACAGCATGGGTCATCTTGGGGACCCAGAGCTGGGAGGCAGTGGGGAGGGACAGGTCCGGGTGGTGTGTGCAGCACTGGCGAGGTGATGTGACCGTTTTTCAGGCTGACTCACTGTGCCGAAGCTGCTGCTGCATAATAAGCAGGCCCTGTAAGCCACTGCTAAAAATATCTCCACTGGCATGGTTTTCTTCCCCTGTGCCAGACTCTCAGGGGCGTCTCTGGGAATGCGGAAGGATGGCGCAGAGCTTCGTCACGTGATCAGCAGGCAAGGTCTTTACAAAGACTGGGTCCATTTCCTGTGTGTTTTGCCCACAAAGTTTTTGTTTGTTTTTGAGACAGAGTCTCACTGTGCAGTCTGACTACCCTTTAAGTTGCTATATAGCCCACGCTGGCTTTGAACTTGAGACCCTTCTGCTTCAGCCTCCTGAGTGCTAAGACCATAGGCATGTACCAACACAGCCAGTTCCCACCATGCCTGTCCCACAAGGGCTTGCTGGATCCTCTGTCCTGGGCAGGTGTTCACCCAACAGGGAGCCCCTGTGGTCTTGAGTGTCCCACCCTCTTCGCCTCCTGTAAAGTGGTGACATGGGAGGAGGGCTGGGAGCATAGTTTGCCCCAGCATGGTCCAATTCAGGGATCACCCCTCCTCCTCCACTCAGCCTGCTTGAGGGGACTCAGCAGCACAAGGGGCCTCCACCTGCAGTGCCCTAGGCACTCATGGTAGAAAGGCTTCTACCAGGATGCTGCCTATGGAGGGAGGAAGCCATCACCCCCAGGGTCCTGCTAGAGGGAAGGACAGGCTTGGTTGCCTGAAGGGGTGGCTGCTGACCTTTCCATTCTGCTAGCTGGGGGTGGGTGCTTGTCATTGGGCAGCGGTACTGATGAGAAAGTGCTGTTTCAAGTGCAGTGAGCATGGCTGGCTGAGAGCCGCTGGTGCCTTCTTAGGCCAGGCACTCAGGGATGTCCCCGGAGACTTTAGCATGCAGCCCTGAGGAAGCACGGCCAGGTCCAGACATGGCTTAAACATGCACACTTTTCCCTGTCCCCAGCATCCACGAGAGAACCATGGAGTCCCCCAGCTCCGACTCGCCCTGCTGGAGAGTCAGGCTTCTCTCCTGTGGTCCTCTGTCCTCTGGAATCTTGCTGCCTGGGTCCTCTGAGTGCTGACTCCTATGCCAGCCAGAAGCTCCCCTCTGCAGCATGCCAGACCCCGCAGGACTTGCCTGACTGTCTTTCTAGAAGTCCCAACAATGTCTGTCGATGCACATGCTGTGTGAGGCACTGTGCTAGGAACTGGGCCTTTACCCCTGTGGAAAAGGAGACCCTGCCCAGGCAGCCGGGGCTGTGGTGGACAGGCAGGGTGGACAGGGCCCCAGCTCTGCCCCAGAAGCTACACAATCTGGCACACTGAGCCTCAGATGCCCAGCACTTTGCCCTTTGCTTGAAGTGCTGGGGAAGGGACACAGGAGCTTAAACCTGCCAGGCAAGCACTTTACCACTGAGCTGCACTCTGGCCCCCTTAACTGTGATCGCCCTGCCTCAGCCTCCTGCATAGCTAGGATTATAGGTGTGCCTGGCTGGTCCCTGACTCTAAATATTGGTTGGAATTTATTGGGCACTCTTGCTGTTATTGCCAGTATTTGCTCTTGAGTTTATTGCATTTTGAGAACAGGACCTTCCTACCCAGGAGCCCTTTAGAAAGAAATGACGGTGGTACTGCTTCACCCTGGCTGGGTCTTATTTTATTATTTGTGTTGTTAAGACCTCATTAACATTATTTCTTAGGCTGCAGCTTCCCTTCAGCATTAGCACACACACACTTCTTGCACTAGAAAGACTGTATCTCCCCACTCATGGTGACTCCTCATGCCTCTTTCCCAAAAAGTGTAAAACTCAGGTCTCGGAAGGCAGAAGAAAGGGGTGCTGAGCCCAGGACGGTTCAGAATCAATGAGGGTGAGAGAACCAGTTAGTGCCGCCTTTGTGGAGACCAGTTTGGCAGCAGACATTCTATTCCACTTCTAGAAATCAGCAGGCCTGAGGAAATTACACCGCACTTAGAGCTGGTGCACTCCACAGCAGTGGCAGCATTATTCCCGGTGGAGAAGGGGAAATAGGGAGGCGTCCTGCAGCAGAAGATGGGTGGTCCCTCAGGCCCCTATGAAAGCAGGACTGAGACCATGGAGATGACTCAGTCAGCACAGTGCTAGTCATGAGCTCACACGTCCCAGCTCCAGCCAAGCGCAGGCCAGCAGGGGAGGGAATGGGAAGGAAACAGGCCCAGAAGGCAGGGTGTTTCCTGTCATTTCCCAACTTTGCATTAATAATTTTATATTTAAGAAAATTAAAGGAAAAATCTTTCAGCATGCAGTATTCTTATCATTTGATGGAATCAAAGGTTGATGTTAAAAGAGGCGGACAATTTTAAAGGAGAGGAGGGGTGGGATTGAGGCTGCAGAATGGGCTGCTGCCACACTTTGTGTTCGGAGCCGCAGGCAGTTAAGATAACTTGGAAGAGCCTTTATTAAAGTGTGTGCTGAGGCTCAGTATAGGCGGGGCAGAGCTGAGCTTGTTGCAGACTGCAGCTCTCTCCACCCTCTGCACAGCCCCAGCATTGGAGTTTCCATTTTGCAAAGAGGGCTGCAGTGGTGGGAGGTGTGAGTGCTCTTGTCTCAGGTTGCACAGCCCTAGGGCTGGGATCAGGGCCTCCCATGGTGGGGGGAGGGTGTGTTTGCTGCCTGGGCAACCAAGAGCCTTGGGATTCCTGCCTCGTGCCTGGGAAGTCTCCCCAGAATCAACGCATGAGCTCAGATCATGGAGGCAGTTCTGAGTCCTAGAGAACACACTGGTGTCACCCAGCTGAGGGGCCCTGGAGTCTCCTTCACTCTAGATGCCCTGGAGCATTTGACTCTTTTCTAGGGATCATTCAGCCAGCACAGCTGTGCGCCTCGATTGCCTCTGTGCACATGGGATAGCCCCAGCCAGCACTGATGAGTGCGCTGTCTCTGTTCTCTTTCAGGACAATGTGTTAAACATCATCAACCAGATCATGGATGAATGTATCCCGCAAGACCGGGCCCCCCGGGACTTCTGCGTCAAGTTCCCCGAGGAGATCCGGCACGACAACCTGGCTGGCCAGCTGTGGTTCGGTGCTGAGGTAGCTCATGTGGCACCATCTGGGCCAGGGGCCGGGGGAGCCATGAACCTGGGCCCTCCAGGCTGTATGAGCGAATGACACTTACCCACAGAGCCTTCAGAGGTTCTTAAGGCCCCAGATATCTGGGACCCTATGGAGAACAGGAGTTCCAGCTGGGTGTGGTGGTGCATCCCTGACTTCCAGTGAACTGCCCCTCTCTTCATCTTGGCCATGCCATCCTAACCTGGGGCTCTGGGCTCTGACTGTGCTCATCAGCTCTCAGCTCCTGGGCCTCCTGGGCTTCCTTTCCATGCCCCCTAAATCTGCTGGCCCCAGCCTGGTTCTCCCCATCTCCGTGCCTGCCTGGCTCCTCTGAACCTGCCCCAAGGCATTGTCCTCCCACCTCAGTGCCCAGCTCTCTGAAGGGGCCCCGGGCAGCGGGCTGCCGTGAGTGGTGCCAGAGGAGGCAGATGTATGCGATGTGCAGTTTCCATGTGTGGTGCCCATGGCTCCCCACTGCTCTGGGTAAGCAGCCACCTTCTTGCTCCAAAACCCAGATCACTTCTTATCCTGATTTGCTGATAGAGATGGGCTGGGGACCACCCAGCCTGTGGACAGGAACCCAGGTCTCAAGGGGCCTTCAGGGCCAGCTGTACTGTACAATCTGAGAGCAGCTGGTGAAAGTTTGTGTTTGTGCTTCACCCTGGAGCCCAGCAGCTGTGGGGTTTGTGGGTGCAGAGAGATCCCCAGCCTGCTGGAAGCAGATGGCTATCAGGCTCCAAGTGTGGGTGTAAGAACTGTCCTGTGTCCCTGAGCCCTGAGTGCAGTGGCATATCATGTGTGTGACTTCCTGGCCAGGACCATATGCTCAGAGAGCCAGGGAAGCATACTGTCGTGTGCCAGGTGGCCTCCTGCACAGAGCCCTCCACTCCCTGGTGGCCCCAGGGATCCTGGTGAGAGCCATTTTGGTCACAAAAGGCACATTTTCACTGTTGCCATTTGCTCTGGACTTTAAGAGGAACCCTGCTGGGGACAGGACAGGGACCACTGAGGCCCAGGGGGCTCTGGGCTGGGTGCCAGGGACGGGGCCTCTGAGAGCCTGGGAGTCCCTCAGCACACATTCTGTTCACAGTGCCTGGCCGCTGGCTCCATCATCATGAATAGGGAGCTGGAAAGCATGGCCATGCGACCGCTGGCCAAGGAGCTGACGCGCAGCCTGGAGGACGTTCGGGGTGCCCTCCGTGACCAGGCACTGCGTGACCTCAGCACCTACACAGAGAAGATGCGGGAGGCACTGAGGCACTTTGATGTCCTGTTTGCCGAGTTCGAGCTCAGGTGACACTGATGGCTCAGGCAGGTGCCCTGAGTGTGGGAGTTGTGGCTTTTGCACTAGACAGGTGCGCCAGTCCTCAGGGCTGGGGGAAGCATCCCTCATTTCCAGCTAGCGAATCCCACTGTCTTAGTTACTTTATGCTTGTTGCTGAGACAAAATACCTGATGCCCAAGTTGGGAAAGGAAAGGTTTATTTCTTACAGTTTTTGGAGGTTTCAGTCCACTCAGTAGGCTCCTAGGAAGGCGGGCCTGGCTGGGCCGCCTTTCATGGCGGCTGCAAATAGCAAACCGGAACTCGAAAAGAGCAAGACACACTTTCTTCCTGCCATTACATCACATCCTGGCTCCACCCCTATGTGGGTGGAGTACTGACACCAATCCAAGCACTAGACAATGAACCAATCACAAATACACAATGCAAACTCATGAGGCCTGGGGGCCACAGACATAAACCATGACACCCACCACTCCAGGCACACCTGTGACCCCAGCATTCTGGGAGTATGAGACAGGAGGATTCCTAGTTCAAGCCCAACCTCGGCAACTTAGTGACTTAGTGAAACCTTGTGCAGCTCAGTGCAGAGAGCCAAGGTTTAATCCTCAGTGCTGAAAAAAAACGTAAAAATCAAAACCCAGCAAACAAATAAACAAAATGGGGAAAAATCTCAAGAAGCCAAGCAGGGAGCAGCCCTATTGGTGCGGAGGAACCCTGCAGGCATAGTGTGGGGCGAAGGACCTCCAGAGAGGGATGTAAGCAGGGACTAGCTGTAGTCCAGAGGGGTGAGGACCCAGAAGGCATAGCTCGTCACAGGTGAGGAAGGGCAGAACATGCTCTTGTGCCCCATGCCCTTCAGACCCCGAAGCCCCTCTGGAGTGGTGCTCCAGCGAATGAGAGGCGAACTTTTGCTCTCTTCTCTCCTTGTATTTTCTGAGTCCTAGCCGCTGCCAAGCACAGAGCTCTGCGTGGCTGACTCTGCTTGACAGGGTGCTTGGGCTGTCTCATGCACATGCTTGTACTCTTGTCCACTTGCTCACCTGTCAGGCTGGGGCCAGGGAGGGTAGGTAGGGGTGGCTTGGGCAGTGCTGACAGGCGGCAGGGCTGTGGGGTGAGGTCGCTGGGCCAGCCTCGCAGGAGCTTTGCTTTGAAACATTGCTGCAGAGCCCACAGCTGTGTTTGTGACATGAGGACGAGGCTGGAGGTAAGGGAGGCCCAGGGGCTCGGAGCCTGAGCACCTCCCTGTGTCTGCAGCTATGTCTCTGCAATGGTGCCCGTGAAGTCTCCCAGGGAGTACTATGTGCAGCAGGAGGTCATTGTGCTGTTCTGCGAGACCGTGGAGAGGTGAGGACCAGCTCGGTGAGGACTGGTTTTGGGCAGCCACGGGGCCTCTCTGGAGGTGCCTGGACTGCTGTCCTCCCACTCTTTCCTCCGTTCTCCCCAGTGGATCCCATCTGTCCCATCCTTGCTCTGGGCCCCAGGGACAGTCCTACTGGTGCCTCATGTGGCCAGGAGCAAGGCCAGCGGGATGAGCTCATGCAGCTGGCACCCACCCTCCCCTAGCTGTCTACCTCCTGGCTCCTCACCATTTTGGGCCACGATGGGGCCCTCACTGAGCATCAGGTCTGTGGAGCACACTTTAGGGGTGACTCATCAGTGTAACAGTCAGGTTTTCTGAGTATTTGGGAGCCAAGCCTTCAATTGTGTTTCTCCAGTTTGCTGTGGGGTTAGCAAGTTTTGAAACTGACCAGCATCACATCACAAGTTTGTTATTTTTGAAAGACACATTATTCACTGCTGATTCTTTGAGAGAGATTTCCAGTTGCCAGAAAATGAGGCTACAGGAAATACTTTTGATCTCTAAGTCACTGTGGCAGCTGTGCCTGCTCCCCAGGTGTGGAGAAAGCCCCCACTGTGCTGGGAGGGGACGTCAGCCCTGTCCTAGGAAGTGTCTGCTTCTGTGGGGAATTTTTGTCCTGTGTTTATTCTTGGCACCGAGTGCTTTGGTTTCCTGGTTAGGCAAAGCCAGCTGGCTCTGTGGGATGTCACCACTGTCCCTGCACACCTCACCTGTTCTCCACACTTCCGCTCCCTTCCTGGGACAGAGGTGAAGTCGATGGAGGACAAATTGGAGGCTGCCCTTCCCTACTCACGGGCCGTCCCTACAGCGTGGCCTTCCCAGCATCAGCCTCCACGTGGGTGAGGGGTACAGGGGACGCCAGCAATGGTCAGCACACCCTTCACCTGCCCCCTCTTGGATCCAGCCTGGGACACGCAGCTTACGCCTTCTCCCTTGGCCAGGGCCCTGACCTGTGGGTACCTCACCCAAGACATGATCGACGACTACGAGCCAGCGCTCATGTTCACCATCCCCCGACTGGCCATCGTGTGGTGAGTGTCCCTCCTGTGTGTCAGCAGCAGTCCTCACACTCTGTGTTAGTTACTTCCATGTCACCAAAATACAGTACCTGATGCCCACAAGTCAAGGGAAGCGAGGTTTTCCTTAGGTCACAGCGTGTGGACGTTTCATCCCAGGCAGGGTGGCACGGCTGAGGAGGAACAGTCCACACAGGACAGTAAGCAGCAGCCATCCAGAGAGGACAAAGGATGTGTACCTTCCAGCCACACCCACAAGGACCCTCCTCTTCCCATCATGCTTTATCTAGCATCACACCTGTGATCTACCTGTGAGCACATGAGGCTTTGGGGGGCATGGATAGAAGCCATAACGCACCCCACCCCTCAGCTTTCTGGGGCACTCACCAGCGGGGCTTTTGGGCCTCCTCAGCAGACAAAAAGCTGAGTGTCTATGGCACCTTCTGCCTATCTTTGTCTGTGTGAGAGGGAGCAAGATGGCTGGACCCTTGTCACTTGCCACACGACAGATGCAATGGATAGCAGCTTACTGGTCACAGACACTGCCCTCCACACAGGGCCACTCAAGGTTGCCTCCAGGGTAGAGTGACACATAGGGGCTCTTTAGTGACAGGACAAGGTGCCTCTGGTGGGTTTGACTCTTTGTTGGGCAGGTAGGGTGATAATCACCCAGTGGGCTGGGGTGCTTGCTTCCTGGCTACCTGGCAGGTGTCTTCATGCTGGCAAGGAATACCAGATCCAGGAAGAACAGGAGCTCACTGGCAGCTCTCATGCTTGGGAGCCCAGAGACATGCGCAGCCCCAGGACTAGGGTCTTTAGTACCCAAGACTGGTAGTGTTGAGGCACCTGCAGAGCATTTCTGAGGCAGAGCCTAGGTGTCTTGGGCTTGTTCCTCTGCTGCTCTTTTCTAACTCCAAACAGGGACCTGCTTCCCTGCCCCCAGGTGGTGTTACTGAGGAGGCGAGTGTTTCCAGGGGAGAGCTCAAGGGTGCCCCAGGCTGTGCTGAGGTGGCCACAGTTCTAAAATACTTGTCAGGAGTCAGACGACCCCAGTGCACGGTATTCTTGGTGTCCCACCATGTGCAGCTCTTCGTAACCTCTCTTGCTGTCCATTCCTGAGCTCAGGCTGCATAGGACAGAGCCCAGGTCTCCTAGACCATGTTGTTATCACCAACAGAGACTACCACACCCTTTCCACGTCTGTGTCATCCTGCACTCACACACGCAAGCCTGAGGGATGCCGTTGTTTTCTGTTTCTGTGGGTGTGCCCGTCCTGGCCCCTGTGTCAGTGGTGTTTGTGTCACATGTGCATCTCCCCAGCAAGGGCACCCAAGCTACCCTCTCTTCTGCCAGCATTCCCTGTGACCCAGAGTCGGGTAAAGCATGGGGCTGCAGCAGAATCCTGCTGATTGGTCTCACAGGGCATAAATATGTATTTACAAAGATTGTCCCTAAAGTGTTACTTGTAACCAAACAAACTTGAGAGGGGTGAATATCCAGAATTAAGAGATTGCTTTAAAATCACAGTCTAGTGGGCTGGGGATTTAGCTTAGTGGCATAAGCGCCTGCCTGGCAAGTGCAAGGTCATGAGTTCAATCCCCAGTACCACAAAAAAAAAAAAAAAATCACAGTCTAGCTCAGTGGTGGCAAACCTTTTAGAGCTTTCAATGACAGGAATAGCCTGCTGAGGCATGTGTGCCATCCATTTACCACCTCTGGTCTAGCCAGTAAAGCAATTTTAGAGAAAAACCTCAAATGTTGTGTAAAATATTCCCAGTGTGTTCATAAAAAAAGTTGTTACTAAGTACTATGTATTTACTTTACAGAATTACAAAATTTCTTAATGTATAGATAAAACTTATGTAAACAAGAAGCTAAGCAACTAATATTCTTTTATTACTATTAAAAATATGCACAACACTATTTTAACCCCTTCTGAGTGTCCCATTCAGTATCATTAAGGACAGTTAGGATGTGTACAACCATTGTCATCATCCAGCTCCGCCCTAAACCAGAACACTGACTTTGAACACTGACTTCCCGCCCTCCCTCCCCTACACTACTTCCCGTCTCTGTAGATTTGACTTCTGTTGGGGCTTCCTTAAGTTGGTCACAGAGAACTTGTCCTTTTAGGACTGAGTTGTTTCACTTGCTGTGATGTCAGGGTTCATCCATGGAATATACCAGAATTTTCTTTTTAAAGACTGAATAATATTCCAATGAGTGTAATTAAATGTCATTTAATATGAGATTTGCAGTAGAAGAGAATAAAATACTGAAGAATAAATGTCACCAAAGAGGTGAAAAGGCATGGATGCCAAAAGCCACCAAATGCTGCTAAAATATTAAAGTAGAAATGGAAAGAAATATCATGTTGATGGATTGAAAGACTTAATATCTTAGGATGGTAACACACTCCAAAGTGACCTGTGGTTACTGAAATTCCTCTCAAAACCCCACTACCTCATTCCTCATATAAATGAGAAAGCTGCTCCTCAAATTCATGTGGAACTGCAGTGGACCCTGAGTAGGGAAGACAAGAAAAAAAAAAAGCAGAGTCGGAGGACTCACGCACCCTGATTTCAACGCCTCTGAATCACTACAGTACTGTGGAGAAGGACTGTTGAAGATGGTATGAGAAAAATGGAGAGCTATCTTTTGCTCTTGGGTAGGCAGAACCAATATAGTGAAAATGGCCATACTCCCAAAGCTGCTATACAGATTTAATGCAATCCTAATCAAAATACCAACAGCATACATCCCAGAATTAGAGAAAGCAACCCTAAAATTCATTTGGAACTAGAAGAGACCTAGAATAACAAAGGCAGTGCTGGGCAACAAAGGTAAGGCAGGGGACATCACTATCCTTGACTTGAAGTTATACTACAAAGCTATTGTAATAAAAACAGGATGGTACTGGTAAAAAAAAAAAAAAAAGACCCAAGGATCAGTGGAACAGATTGGAAGATGCAGAAACAACTCCAGACACACTCAGCCACTTTATCTTTGACAAAGGTGCCAAATACATCACTGGAAGAAAAATAACTTCTTTAATAAATGGTGCTGGAAAACCTGACTTTGCAGTGCTGAAGATTTAAATTGGACCCATATCTTTCACCATGCACTAAACTAAAGTTGAAATGGATCAAATGGGCTGGGGATTTAGCTCAGCGGCGTAAGTACCTGCCTTGCAAGCAGGCAGTCGTGAGTTTGATCCCCGGTACTGATAAAAAAAAAAAAAAAAAGAAATGAATCAAAGATCTAAATATTTTTTTATTTAAGGAGAAAAAGGGAAAAAAAGCAGAAAAAGGGTACAAGTTATACAGAATTTCAGAAAAAAAACCAGGAAATCACTAGTTAATGGATTACATATTGTCATCTTAGAAATATTTGTTCAAGTTACAAAATTAAAGCATATAAAGTAGACATTCAAACAGTGAGACTGCAAACAGTTCTGTTCAATGATCCAACAAAACTCAGTAATATCATTGTCTATCTTATACACTTAAATATACATGCAGTTATACCATTTAGAGCACTTTCTTTTCCTCTCTTTTGTACAATGACTATTACACATTTTGGGTTTTATTGCTCCCACAGTTCTTATTACTTTTTTTGGAAGACAGTAAAACCAAATGTGACTTAATAGAACAGAGACGGTTAAATCAAAAGGGTGGACATAATAGATAATGTAAAAACATAATACAAGGTGATCAACAATGGTTACCATAATGCCTCCCACTATCTCAAATAGAATTGCCTATATCATCAGTTATAATAAAATTGAACAAAACAGTAAAGAACAAAACCAACAAAACCAAAACATTGGAGACATTACAGGTCTTCAAAAGCAGATAGTAGTCAACCAGAATGGGCGTCATAATGATTCCCACTATCTTCACAGCTGTTGCCTAAATTTTCGAACCTGGTACTATCAAGCAAAGCAGAATAGAGGAACATCAGTCAAAACAAGATGGTGAGAGCAATACAGAGCTTCAAATCAAGTTAATAGAAAATCAAAGTGGGTTACTACAATATATCCTGCTATTTTAAAATTTATTTTCCCTTAATTAAAAGGATAAAAATAAAAAGTAAATAATAAAATGGAGATTGAGATAAAAGAGGGCATAACAACTAAACAGTGCAGATCAAAACATAACCATTTAAGCAAATTAGTGTTTCACCACAAGATAATACTGACATAAAAGTAGTTACCATATTGTCTCTTTCCTTGAAATCTTTGAGTATAACTTCATATACTGTAGCATCATATATATCAGAACAATGTAAAACCATTCAAGAGAATGACAGTATTACAGGGTATTTAGAATCAACTAACAGATAATGAACTATGGTTTCTGTATAATCTCCTTGTCTATAAAAGTTTTTGTTTATACTATCACATATAAAGATCTAAATATTAAAACAGAAATATTAAATCTGCTGGATGATAGAATAGATACAACTCTTGAAGACACTGGTGTAGACAAAGACTTTATGAACAAAAGCCCAGTCACACAGGAACTCTCACAAAGAATCAGCAACAGGGATCTTGTCATATTAAAAGCTTTTGCACAGCAAGAGAAACCACCAACAGAATGAAGAGGAAACCTACAGAAAAATTTTGCCAACTGCTCTTCAAAGATTACTATCAAAAATGTACAAAGAACGCAAAAAAATCAGACCCCCAAATGAGCATCTGAGACAAATACACACTTCTCAGATGAACAAATATAAACAGCAAATAAATATATTAAAAAATGTTCAACATCATTAATCATTCAAGAGATGCAAATTAAATACTGAGATTCCACCTCAGCCCAGAAAGAGTGGCTGTTATCAAGACATCAACCAATAACAAATGCTGGAGGGGTTATAGCGAAAAAGGAACCCTTCTCCACTGTTGGTGGGAGTGCAGACTGGTGCAACCACTGTGAAATTAGTGTAGAGATTTCTCAAAAAGAAAATAGGACTAGAGGTTCCATTTAACCCAGCTGTTCCTCTTCTGGGTATCTTCCCAAAAGAATTAAAAGCATCACCCCACAGCAATATATGTGTACCCATGTTTATGGTGATACAATTTGTAATAGTCAAATCTTGGAAACAGCCCAAGTGTCCATCAGCTGGTGAACAGATAAAGAAGATGTGGTTTTTCTATACTGCTGTGTCATAAGAAGGTAAGATGTTTCTAGGTAAATGGATGCACCTTGAGGTCATACTCTTGAGTGAAGTACATCTTACCCACATACGTCCAGATACTGCACTGTTTCTCTAGAATGAGAAACTGAACATGTAAATAAGGGCTAAAATGTATACAGGGATTGTGAAATAGGAAGAAAATGTTCAAATGGGGAGGGGAATAAGGGAGGCAGAAGGACAGAAGGGAAGAGTAAACAAAAGAGGGAAAAATGGAAATAAAGCTTTTGTAAATGGGGAGGTTGAAGAGAAATGGGAAAAAAAGAATCAAGTTATACCATGTCAGGTACAAATTCTTTGTGATGAATGTGATCATGGTGTATACCTAAAATGTGCCTCTAAAATCTGACTGAAGAAAAAAAGTGGCTAAAAAACTCCCTACGATTCAAAATACTGTGGTACTTGCTTTATGATACACACAATGACCAGTGGAAAACAATTGAGAGGCCAGAAATTTACCTAAAAGTCTGTGGCCAGCTGACCTTTGATGAGGTGTCAGGATCTCTAGGCGGAGAAGAGCATTCTCCTAAATACAGGCTGCTGGGGCAAGTGGGCGGCCACTTTCAAAAGACAAAATTGGACCCTGTGATGTTTTATTTTCTGTGTCAACTCAGCTGGGCCTTGGCAAGCAGATGTTTGACCAAATACCAGTCAGGATGGTGTTTTGAAGGCATTTTGAGGTTGAGGTTCACATGCAGACTGGGACCCCATGGGCACAGCGAGTGACCCTTCATCATGCAGATGGATCTCATCCCCTCAGTTGTAGGAGCCGTAGGCATGAGGGAATTCTCCAGATAGACCTCAGCCTTGAGCTCAAAGTTACCTCTTCCCGGGCTTCAGCCTGCCATCCGCCCCACAGATTCTGGACTCACTAGCCCCACTACTACATGAACTAATTCCTTAAAATAAATATATGCCCCCCAAATAAATAAATAAATAAATAAATAAATAAATAAATATATGCCCGTCACCCTCAAGAATGCCTTGCCTAATTCAATCACTAAATACACCCTCAGACTTGGTGGTGGATTCTTAGATTTGACACCAAATATACTAGAAACGAAACAAAACAAAGTAAGCCAGACTTCGTCACACTTGACTTTTGTGTGTCAAGGAACTATCATCAAAGTGGAAAGACAACTAAAGAATGGAAGTATTTGCAAGTCATCTGTCTGGTAAGTGCTTAGTGTGCAGACTAGATGAGGAATCCTCACAACTCAACAGCAAAGAGACCAGGAACCTGTTCAGAAATGGCAACAGGCTTGGATAGACATTTCTCTGAAGAAGATGTGTGGGAAGCTAACAAGCACCTGGAAGGATGCCCAGCACTGCTGGTCATTAAAGAGATGCAGATTGCTGGGGACTTAGCTCAGTAGCAGAGCATCTGACTGGCAAGCACAAAGTAAAACAAACAAAAAACCCCAACAACTTTTCATAAAGAGATGCAAATCGAAGCTGTATGGAAGCACTGCTACAGATCCTTGGGTGCTGGTAAACAGGCTGAGAAGGGGAGGCTCGGTAAGCAGGCAGAAATGGATGCTGCAGGGCACTGCTGTGGGTGTCAGGTGGCTCCGCAGCTGGCATGGTACAGGGTGATGGCTAAGAAAACACCTGTCACCTCTGCAGGAATGAGTTGCACTCTTCCTTCACACAGATAGGCCTGCGAGCCCTCGTCTGTGCTGAGATGAGGAGGCAGGGGGACAGATGGGAGTTCCCTGGGGACCCATGACACACTAAGTCCTGAGCCATCAGGTACCCCATGACTCCGGGAGGAGCAGCCTGAGGGGTAGTGGCTCCAGGAGAGAGGTCAGGCAATGGTGGATGGAATCCCCTCTGCAGGCTCTCTGGGCAGGCGTGCGTGAGG